CCACAATGAAGGACTCAACCTCGAGATAACCACAAACATGAAGATTGTGCTACTTTTGAGCCCGATTGAGGGAGGACAGGGGCACAGACTCACCTGGGCACGCTTCGTTGGTGCGCATCCCCTGGTACAGTCCGTCCTGGCCCGCGCGTGGTAAGCCAGGTCAATCCAGTGGTCAGTCGGCCATGCCCTCTGGTGATGGACTAGAGGCGTTCTGACTCCTCTAGCCCGTCTCTTGGCTCGTGGCTTGGGCGGGGGCCGCGCGGCCATTGGGAGCCAGACCTCAGGGCGCTCAGGTTTTGTGACGTCGCGACGGCGCGGGCGGGAGACAGGGGCCGCCTGCGAAGAGGTCACGGACACTACGGCGGCGACGCCGACCACGCGGCGCAGGCAGAAGGTTTGCTGGAGTGGGTGGTGGTTGGCGGGTTAGTCGGGGGCTCCAGTGATTCTTTGCAGGTCAGGGCGCCCAGGATATCTGTCGCTACGACGGTGACGCAGACACCGATAGTTTGAGGGCGTCAACTACCGCGCGTGCGCCGACCTTGCCCAGGCAAGCCTTGGGCCTGGGGACGGTGCGTGCGCCCTTTTTGCCTGGCCCAGAGAGGCCTACGCACCGACCAGGGGCTCAGGATAGGCCCGGTTAGGATCAGTGTGCGCGAGTAGTTGTTGGCACCCTCCGACGTGGCCGTTTTTCTCGTAGGCCTTTTCGCCGGTCGGTTGTGCCAGCGGGGCCCACAGACAGGGCCACAGACAGACATGGCTTGAGGCATTTCGAACTCGCATTGCAAAGCTCGGGCTCAAGCTGGGGCGGCGCTGGGATCAAGGCCGCCGCAGCCTTTGCCGTCCTACCCGCCCAGTCGTTGCCTTTGGACTAACCATCGTTCCCTGCAACACGCACCGAGAGCAGTCTCGGCGGGCTTCGACTTTTGGTCATTTCCAGTTGTTGGGGACTGTCTTGTCTTGGATCCACGCTACGACGGGAACTCCCGCATACGGATTTTTCCCCTACTGGCTGTGGGTCCGTGGAGGACTGGCAGGATGCATCTGACATCCGCCCAGGTCTAGGTGATCCCAGGGCAGGAAGCTGCGGCTAACATCCTAGATGTTCGGCGGCAGGCGAGGCCGGGGTCAGGGCGACCCCCTGCGGGGCCCGAGATGCATGTAACTCGGCCGCCCTCATCGTCGATTTTGACCACTGACCAGGCAGGCACATCGTACGCATCATGCCCTGATCTGGATCATTGCCGTCATGGCAAACTTCGTTTTGTATTACAACTCCTTGTGGCCAGCCATATCCGAACCAGCAAATTCCTGCATCAGATCCTAGACCTGGAGGCTTCCGAACGGTAGTCTCAGGGGCGGTCTGAAATCCAAACACGAGCGGGGATGAGTTCGTGTCTGTCAGGGTTCCAGAGTCCTCGGGTTCCAGCTTTTCGCTTCTGAGGATGTTGGCCCTTGGGCGTTTGAAGAAGCTGCTCGGGAAGGAGTCCTTGGGGCCACCACAGACCTTGCAAGCTGTGCCCCCCTCGCACTCCGCGGCGGCGGCCATTTTTTCCTTTGTCCATATACCTTGGCAGGCGGATGAGAGTAATGCGTTCCTCATGTTCACTGAGATGGCCTCGTTCTGCAGCGTACGCTGCAGCTTGGGGGGTTCCAACTTGTCCTCCAGACTAAGCTTGTTGGCCGCCCGTGTGCGCAACGGCTGCTGCCACTGCTCCTGAAACATTTTCTGGACAGTGGCAGGGGCTGTGGCGATATGGGGGAGGGTCTCGCTTTTCGGATCCTGGAGCAGGAACGGGTCGGGCATAGTCCGTCCCAGGCGCCCAGGATTGAGTATTGCGGCCGCCCCGAAGGTCCTTTTGATTTCTGCCACTGAATGTGTTTGGAGGGGGCTGTCGAGGTCTGCTAGGTCTTGGACCTGGGTTCTGGGATGGTGAACTTACAGGCGCCAGGTTGGTGCGCGATCCTCCAAGTCAGATTTGCGCAGTAAGCTGCTGGCCTCGTGGCCGCGCTCCAAGTTTGATTTCGCCAGGCAGCCAATGCAACCGAGCGGGACCTGGTAACGAATCGCCCCCCCCTCTAATTTGTCAGTTGAGCGTCTTGGCATCTCGTAGTTCTGGGTTCGTGAGTCTGGCAATCTCAGTTCAGTAGCAGGCGGTGGTTTTTAAGCCGTCTGATAAATCTTACGCCTTTCAGCTCCTGCGCGCCTGAGCTGCACCGAGCGATTGCGTCTTATCTTCATGAGGGCGGTTCGCTTCCTGGGCCCCCCCGCGCCTTCCTGGAATCACAGATGCCCATGGCAGAATCAGCTCTTAGTTTGGGTGCATGCGGCTCTTGCTTCCCGCCCGAAGGGCTACTTTACTCACCAAGTGCCTTGGCGAGCTCCTGCTGCACGCTGGCCGGCGATCCTATCTTTGCGGCCTTGTGCAGCGCGACTGGGCAATCGAGGTGTTCACCGGTCAAGTCAAGGAGACCATCGGCGGCGCGCACCAAGTCCGACGCCAAGAGGTTCACGTTAGTGTTGCTGTTGAACAATATGAGCTCAGGAAGATCGAGGGGTCGAGTTCCGGGGTCATGGGGGCCCTGGAGTCCATGGATGGGCGTGTACATTTGGACGTTGCAGGTAGCGAAGGAGCAGCCAGCGGTAAAGCCTGTGCTGGCATTGCCGTTGGAGATAACCAGAGTCCGAGTAGCCACCACTGAGGCAAACGAGGGTCGCCGAGAACCCCGCCTCCAGGGCCCTACACCTCCGTGTGCTGCGTCTCGCGTCATCGTGGTAATTCAAAAGGTGCCAAAGAACGCCTCCGTGTGCACACGCTGATTCTGATATCGTGCAAGTTCAGCCCGTAGGGCCTGAGCATTAGACAGTTTCCAACATACCTCGACCAGACTGATGGGCTTCTTAAGCACGCACGTTAGCCCTCTTCCATGTCCTTGTCCCTCCCCCCCCGTCTGGTCTTGGAGCAACCCGATGGTAGCAATCCTAGTCCCTGGTACGATGGGCCATCGGACTGGTCGGCTCTGTGCTTTTCAAGTGAAGTAACGAGGATGCTGCGAATGGCGGCGGGGAGAACTCCAATCTTGTCGATCGCTGCTACTAGTCTGCGTACATGCTCCAACTCCTGGTTGCCCAATAATGGGAAATGCATGGCATGAACGCTATCCGGCGATTGACTGGTAGATGTGGGAAGCCGTTTGGGAGTTGATCGAATCGTGTCAGCAGTGATGGGCGGCAGCTCGTCGCGCTCCGCGGACGGCAAGGTGCACTTCTATTCTGACGGCCTAACTTGCCACGGGCCTGCTAATCGATCAGCACCCAAGCCTCAGCAGGTCGTACGGCCTTCTAGGAACAAATACTTTGAAGATCGGTGTGCCATACTGTATGTTGTTGTCAGGCTGTGAGAAGGCGGAGGAGGAGAAGGAGGAGGCGAGACGAGAAGGACGAGGAGGACGAGGAGGACGAGGAGGACGAGGAGGACGAGGAGGAGGCATGAGGGAGGAGGGAGGAGGGATGTCGTCGTAGTCGTCGGACGGGGGACGTGGGCGCTGGGCCGTCCTCCGATTGACACAGGATGGCCCCTGGGGGGAGCAAGGCATCATACAATTACCTGTTGAGAGGCGCCTGGTGGGGGGCACGAGCATAATGCGCCCGGGGGAGAGCGCATGGGGGCGGCACGCGACGAGAGAGCTTGCGCAAATTCTGTGCGCACCTCGGCTGCACTCAAAACAGAAGGGACAGAAGGGCAAGATTGATCTAATCAGGAGGGCGAACCTCATAGAGAGGAGACGGCTGGACACCGTACTTCTCGCACACCTTGAAATAGATCACATAGATTTTGTCCTCCGAGCCCTTGTGCTGGGTCAGCCAGGAGTCGATCTTGAACAAAGAGTCGGGATCGTATTGCGAGGGAATGTCAGAGATCCTTCGCTGGCAGATCCTGCGGCGCTCTCCAGCTCGTGCTGAAACTGTCGGCGGCGGCTGCGGCACATCAGGCGAGGTGGGGGCCTGCTGCGGCAGGGCGCTTCCGCCTGGGTTGCGTGCTTGCTCATCCTCTTGGGCACAGCCACTTCGACCGCGGGCGCGAGCCGTGAGCAGCGTGTCCAAATGCATCGCAGGGGCCTCGGGCTAAAAATCTGGTGGCTGCCAGATGCCTGGCGGAGCCGCTGGGGCATCGACAGAGGCCAAGTCGATCTCGGCGTCCGAATGCAAGCAGTGCTTGGCCAAGTACGTGACGTCCTTCATCCAAGGCGCACGGCCCACGCGCGCACAATAGCCCAGTCGCCGAAAAAGAGCGCGTGTGAGCCTCGGGGAGGTTCCCGGAGCTGCCTCGTGAGCCCGCGCGTATGGTTGCTGTCCCGATTGACGGGGTCCTGCAGCAGCACCCTGTGTGCTGAGAAAGACCTCGGAATCGGGACAGCGGCTAAGGAGGGAGAATGGAGGAGGGAGAAGAACGAGAAGGATCCGACGGCGGCGGCGGAATAGGAGGAGGAGGTCAACAAAATTGACACTAAACATGAACATACTGATAATCTCAATTGTTGGTATGTGTAACACTTCAAACAAACATGACGAATCTCGTACGACAACGAATAATACCACACATGAGAAAGCACATGCTATTACTAGGGGTTTAGTGGTCATACGCATAACAACAGCAGTCGTAAAATCTATTCCACCAATACGAAGAAGGCGAATCGTAGTCATACTACCAGTAGGCAGGTTACGACGACCAGCGATAATCATATGACCTGTACTAACACGCATACGAGTATTGTGAAATATTTTAGTGTTATGCATTATTTTGACGGGCGCTGATAATAATAACAGGAATAAGCATACGCACGCTCCGGACATTAATCATACTACTTATACGAATAAGGCATAGTATTAAGCATACCGATGATGAGGAGAGCCGTGAGCAGAGGATGAGGCGGAGGAGGACGACGAGGAGGAGGCCAGGCAGGAGCTTCGGGCAGAGCACACCCCTCGACCTGGCCCGCAGGCGCCTTCGCGGGCGCAATGTACGCGATGCCGTACCAGGCAGGCGGCGCCTTCGGCGCCCAGGGCGGGCCTCCCCTTCGTCGCCAAGGATGCGTGCAAGACTCATATCCATATCCAGTGCCTCTCGGACTTTTTTTGGAAGCGGCGCCACAAGGCCGAGGCGCACTGGATATGGATAAACATCGAGCCTCTAGGGGGCAAACTTATCCATATCCAGTGCGCCTCGGGTTTTTTTGGGAAGGGAGCCCGAAACTCCATACTGCAGTAGATATAGACAGAAGTATTGCCCGCAACGGAGGAGAGGGGTCCAGAGGGAAGCCCGGTACGACCGAACCGGGGCGCCCCATCGAGGGCCTCGCCTGCGAGGGTCGAAAGAGCTGGCGCGTCTTTCTCGGTGGAGGCGGCGGCTGGCCAGGGGACCGCGGCGGAAGTGATGCCGGGGCCGCTCTGCCGGCGGAGGTTCGGCGGAAGGGGCGGCGGGAGTGAACACAATCACATCTTTTTTTCGGGGGTCGGGGGGTGTCCAGAATCGGGCAAAGGGGTACTCCAGATTTCGTAATAAAGGGAGGGGGGTCTCATTTCGGGGGGGGTCTCTTCCAGGCTATCTTGGAGGGCCTGGGGGGGTCTGGGGACGATGTTTTGGAGGGTTCTCCCACGGGGGGGGTCTGAAATGGCTTGTCTTGGAGGGTCCAGACCCCCCCCCCTTTTATTACGACATCTGGGGTACGGAGATAATGGGGCGGAGATCGACATCCGGCTTCGTCCGTTCTGAGCATGGCTCGCCGTCGGCGTCGCCGCGGACGTTGTCCAGTTGAGACGGCAGGTCGCCGGCCAGCAGCGGCCGCTGCATGTGTTGGACAGCACTCGCTGTTCGGCGTCGTGCCCAGCTCGACAGTGCGGATGTCGGACGTGCTATGCAAACGTCCCTCATGTCTTTGTCTCTCTCTTTTTTTTTAAAATGGGATTCCAGGTCCACGGGCCCAGGATCGTCAAACATCGACTCGGGATGAAAAGCTGGCCCTTGGGGACCGCCCCTGGGGGGTCTCGTTCCCTGTCTCCTCGTCCTCCAGGTGACATCCCCCCGGCTGGACTGTTTCCTTCAGGACCCGCTCCCGTCACTCCAATCCATGTTCCCATTTCGTCGTCGTCGTCGTCTTTCGCGTCGTCTCCGAGGCCAGACCCTGTATGCATGGCCACCGCCCGGGGAGCCGCTGTCCTGCGGTGAGCACCGATGCATTCGGCCCATAGCCACCGCATTTTCGAACCTCAGGAAGAGCGTTTCCCCAGGCGGTGGTATGGCATGGTTTTTTCTTGCTCGCATTCTCGTTTCCTCCTCCTCCTTCTCATCCCCCTGCGCATTTCTTCTCAATCTCCCTTATCCCTGGCAGGTACTCCAGCGATTCCGCCCCCAGATACCTGTGGAGGTCTCTGGGGCTCTCTGGGCCTCTCTGGGGCTCTCCGAGGGGGTCTCCGCCGGGGGTCTCTGGAGGGCCAGAGCCTGCCAGAAACCCTCCCGCAACCTCCCGCCATCTTTCCCTCCTTGCAGGGCGCTCTTCTGCCCAGAGCTCCGACGGATTGGCCTCTTCCACCCACGGGCGCCAGAGACCTCGACCCCTCTGCCCAGGGACACATTTGTAGGTTGTCATCCTGGATCCACTGCTGGCGGGAACTGGGGAAACCGCCAGTACAGTCGGGGCGCTGAGGAAGGAACGCTTTTTTGTTGGGGAGGGGCTCGGTGCTCCTTGATTGTTTTAAGCTTGCTTCAGGTTTTCCTGAGGTTGGTCATGGGAAAGCTAAGTTTACCTAATGTAAACAGGTGCCTCGTTCCTTATCTAGGGTTCCTTAGGTCAACGCCCCGACTCTACATTTTCAATCCGCCGGGGCTCTGTCCTCGTCCCCCTCGCCCCCCTCCACTAAATGAGGATGATGATGATTATGATGCTGATGTTGATGCTGATGCTGCTGGTGACGATGATGACGATGAGGATGATGATGATGATGCTGATGATGATGCTGATGCTGATGCTGATGCGGATGCTGATGATGCTGCTGATGACGATGATGATGATGCTAATGTTGGTGCTGCTGATGCTGCTTCTGATGATGATGCTAGTCCGGTTGATGATGATGCTGACGCTACGATTGTTGATTGTGTTGATGATGTTGCTGATGATATTGATGACACTGATGATGGTGAGGATGATGATGAGGATTTGTATGATGATGCGACTGCTGATGCTGATGTTTGATGCTGATGCTGCTGCAGATTATGCTGGTGGTGATGATGGTGATGATGATGCTGATGCTGATGATGCTGATGAGGAGGATGCTGATGATGTTGGTGATTCTGATGATGTTGCTGATGATAATGCTGACGATGATGCTGATGCTGGTGATGATGCTGATGATGGTCATGATGATGAGGATGAGGATGAGGACGAGGCTGACGATGATGAGGAGGGGGAGGATGATGCTGATGATGAAGATGATGATGTTGATGATGATGTTGTTGATGATGATGATGATGATGATGATGATGATTGGCGGAGGGAGAGGAGGAGGAGGAGGACGAGCAGGAGGCAACGGGGATGATGATGACGACGACGATGATGATGATGCAGATGATGATGATGATGATGATGATGCTGATGGTGGTGATGATGATGATGATGCTGATGATGATGATGATGATGCTGATGATGATGATGATGATGATGATGTGAGCGTTTTTGCTGCTAGCGCGACTCCCGCCCTGTGGCGTGCAGCGTAGGCCTGAGGCACTTCGCTGTCTCAGCTGTAGATTGGATGTTGTTGATGATGATGCTGATGATGATACAGATAATGATGATGATGATGGTGGTGGTGATGATGATGATGATGATGAGGATGATGAGGATGATGACGATGCTGATGATGATGCTGATGATGATGCTGATGCTGATGCTGATGCTGAAGCTGATGCTGATGCTGATGCTGATGCTGATGCTGATGATGCTGCTGATACTGATGATGATGATGATGATGATGCTGATGATGATGATGATACTGATGATGCTGATGCTGATGCTGATGCTGACGATGCTGATGCTGACGTTGATGATGCCGATGATGATGCTGCTGCTGATGATGATGCTGATGATGATGCTGCTGCTGATGATGATGATGATGATGCTGCTGATGATGATGATGATGAGGATGAGGATAATGATGATGATGATGATGATGATGATGATGATGATGATGATGATGATGATGATGACGATGATGATGATGATGCTGATGATGATGATGATGATGATGATGATGATGATGATGATGATGATGATGATGATGATGATGATGATGATTGGCGGAGGGAGAGGAGAAGGAGGATGACGAGCAGGAGGAGACAGGAGGAGGACGAGCAGGAGGAGATGGGGAATGGGAGGAGGAGGAGGAGGAGGAGGAGGAGGAGGAGGAGGAGGAGGAGGAGGATGGAGGCGGAGGAGGAGGAGGAGGGGGGAGGGGGAGGAGGAGGAGGAGGAGGAGGAGGAGGAGGAGGAGGAGGAGGAGGAGGAGGAGGAGGAGGAGGAGGAGGAGGAGGAGGAGGAGTAAGTATAAGGACAATACTATTCATAATGCTAGTAACAATGAGGAGGAGGAAGAGGAGGAGTAGGAGCTAGTAACAATGAGGAGGAGGAAGAGGAGGAGTAGGAGGAGGAGGAGGACGGAGGATGGTAGACGGAGGAGGAGAAAGACCACGACGTCGTCATCGGCATCGTTGCCCCCTCCCTCGAGGGGGCCTCCTGTCGGGTCGGACGCACGGGGAGGCATTGAGAACGGGGTTGCAAACCATGCTGCCTGCAGCCAGTTCCGTCTCCGCCGCGGGGCCTCTATGGAGACATCCACAGTTTTGCAGGCTGATTCGCTGATCCCCCTCTTTGTTATCCCTCCTTTCGGTCGCCCCGAGGTCGGAGGACGGCAACTGCACACTTCACCGATCCTGCCCACGCCCATCCTGGGCCCGGGAGGGGCCTGGCCAGGATCGGTGCACGTGTACAGTGGGGACGGACCCAGGCCAAGAGGCGCCCTGCTTGCCTCCGGGGTGCTCTGGGTTTCTTGGGTCTCGATGGTTTTGCCGTGGAATTCGCGACGCTCCCGCACCAAAAATCAGTGGACGTCCTGGTTAGGGGGCCACATGCGAACCCTACCCCTACCTCCCACGATTTCTGAGGGGGAGGTTGGGGTTCACTTCGTTCGGGAGCTCCCGAGCAAAGTGAACCCCACCCTCCCCCTTAGAAATCGTGGGGGGTAGGGGTAGGGTTCGCATGTGGCCCCCTACTGGTGTCTCAGGCTTGGGTTTCTTGTGGAAGGCTTCTTGTGGTCGGGCCTTCACTGCATTTCGGCAGCAACTCCTGGGAGCCCTTCACGTCCTCGAACTCCAGTCTTTGGACTGCCTCGGCGTGCCTTCACGTCCAGTCATCGACGAGGAAGCGCCGACCCAGCGCCGAGGTATTGTCTACCGGTGTCGGTGAGCGTCGATCCGCGGGAGCCAGCAAGGTGACATGGGAGGCTTCCACGAGTTGCCACATGATAGTTGACGCCCTCCAACGAGAGGAGGGCTGATCGGCAGCGCGCCCAAAGGGGGAGCGTGAGAAGGAGAAGGCCTTCTCAGAAGGCTCGGAAGTCCCCCGGCCTTCTCAGAAGTCTTCGAAGCCCCCCCCTCCGAAGACACGGACAATGTTCCAGAAGGCGCGATGGCTTCTGAGAAGCCCCGCAGCCTTCTGAGAGGGCCTCCTCCCTCTCACCTCCCCCCTCGCTCGCCGCCGAGGCAAGGGAGGGCCCCGGGGCCCATTCCTCGATACACGGGCGCCTCCAGGCGCCAGGAGGCGCCAGGAAAACCAGCTACGTGAGCTGATTCTCTCCCCTGCACTGTGCCATCCCACCCGTGCGCCCCCCCCCCGAGAGAGAGTGGCGCCAAGGGAGGGCCCCCCGCCGGTGCCCTGCCCCCCTCCCCTCTCCCGCGCAGGGCGCCTGCGGCAACGGAGCGCCCCCAAACCCTGCCCCGCGCGCGGGGG